CCTTCCTTCCTTCCTTCCTTCCTTCCTTCCTTCCTTCCTTCCTTCCTTCCTTCCTTCCTTCCTTCCTTCCTTCCTTCCTTCCTTCCTTCCTTCCTTCCTTCCTTCCTTCCTTCCTTCCTTCCTTCCTTCCTTCCTTCCTTCCTTCCTTCCTTCCTTCCTTCCTTCAGCGCGGATCTGCTTTTCAGACTGGAATTACTTCTGCTAGAAACACGGAATACAAATAGCATAGGTATTTATACAAATAGACACATGCTGCCTGTATCTTGCATTTCTGGCGGAAGTTATTCCAGTCTGAAAAGCGGCCCCGCTGGGCACGATCCAACCCGACTGAGGGCCTTCAGATCAAAGGGCCCGGCCAAAGCGCACCTAGGACTAAACTCCGGTCCTTGCTGGAAGATCCAGAGCGGAGCTGAAGAACCTTCGCCATCGCAACTGGTGTGCGTGTGCGTGCGTGTGTGTGTGTGTTATTGTGACAAGATGCTGGCCGGAATTTCTTCATTCTTACTCCAGCTATGAATCTCGATTTCCTTCATCTTCGAATTTCATCCTTCGGAAGCGGATGATGGGCCTCCTGATTATCGTGCAGCTGGTCTGAAAACGAATTCCTCGCTGGAGAGGCTCCTTAACGAAGCCTTTCGCCTAGAGCACCGGTGCGTCCCCACTTTTGGCCCAGCTGTCTGGGGATGATGGGAGGTGTAGTCCAGGTGGAGTGACTGCCTGGGAAGTTCCGGACTGGACAACCGGCAAAGCTATTTTTAAAGCGGGGGGAGTCTGAAGTAGGGTTGGGCGACACTTCTATGCGACCGTTCACTCATCGAGAAGGACTTAAAGGGTGGGGACAACCTACAATGAGGTGCAGTATATTCTGGGCATAAAAGGCCACCCATCTGGGTGAGATCCGTGTTTCCACTGCGGCTAAACACACACATGTGCACATTGGGAACAGAGCCCAATCCAACACCCAGCACCCTGCCCACCTTTCGCTCCGCTGCAAGGCTTAACACAGGAAAGCAAAGAGACCGGGATGGAGGTGATCCTCCCTGACATCTCAAGTCTACCTGCAAGGTCTGGCTGTAAGGTGCTAACTTGAACCAGCCTTCTCGGGAAGAGGCCCGACCTTCAGAAGACGCCATCATCTCCGGTAGAACTCAAGATTGCCACGCAAATGACGCCAACCGTGTGATCCCTGGCATTTGTGCGATGATGCCGTGTCAAGTCTGACGTCACGCCCCCCCCAGGACAGAAAAAGTGTATCCCCGCAGCCACAGCCATCGGGGGATGAATCAGATTAGATGGAAACTTTATCTTTTTAAAAAAAAGTAGTGGCAATCTAGTCAGCGTTGGTGGGCATGGGGGAATAATAATAATAATAATAATAATAATAATAATAATAATAGTAGTAGTAGTAGTAGTAGTAGTAGTAGTAATTTCCTTGAGCCCTGGGATGCAAGGGCCTTCCCTGTGGGATCCACCCTGGGTTACCCTTCTTCATTTT